CACATTTCTCGCCCTTTTCGCTAACCTTTCTCGTCCTTTTGGCTAAGATCAAGTGTAGTACTAAATTTTTTTGGGTTGGCCTTTTGGCTAACCTTTCTCGGACTTTTGGCTAAGAGAGTTTCAGTCTTTCAGTATATACCATTATTAAATTACAAATTAATTTAAAGAGTTTAATTCAAATTACAAATTACCTAATAAAATTCATTTTTCTTGTCCTGCATTGGTTTTGAGTTATAAAGGATTACATGGAAGCTTTTTATAAAACTATAAATCTAAAGAAATTTAATCACACCTTTATCGGCCTTTTGACTAACCTTTCTAGCACTAAATTTTTTTGGGTCAGCCTTTTGGCTAACCTTTCTCGGCCCTTTGGCTATAAAAAAAATTTACCTAATAAAATTATTTAAAGAGTTTAATTCAAATTAAAAATTACCTAATAAAATTTATAAAAATTAATTTAAAGAGTTTAATTCAAATTATAAATTACCTAATAAAATTTATTTTTCTTGTCCCACATTGGTTTTGAGTTATAAAGGATTACATACAAACCGCTTATAAAACTATAGACCTAACGAAATATTAATCACATCTTTCTCGGCCTTTTGGCTAAGAGAGTCTCAATCTTTCAGTATATACCATTAGTAAATTACAAATTAATTTAAAGAGTTTAATTCAAATTACTTAATAAAATTCATTTTTCTTGTCCCACATTGGTTTTGAGTTATAAAGGATTATATGGAAACCTCTTATAAAACTATAGACATAAAGAAATATTAATCACACATTTCTCGGCCTTTTGGCTTAGATTAAGTGTAGTACTAAATTTTTTTTGGGTCGGCCTTTTAGTTATAACCTTTCTTGGCCTTTTGGCTAAGAGAGTATTTTAGTATTTATTTATTAGTATAAAAAAATATAATTAATTTAAAGAGTTTAATTCAAATTACAAATTACCTAATAAAATTCATTTTTCTTGTCCCACATTGGTTTTGAGTTATAAAGAATTACATGGAAGCCTCTTATAAAACTGTAGACCTAAAGAAATATTAATCACACCTTTCTTGGCCTTTTGGCTAACCTTTCTCGGCTTTTATGGTAAGATCAAGTGTAGTACTAAATTTTTTCAAGACGGCCTTTTGGCTAACCTTTCTCGACCTTTTGGCCATAAAAAAAAATTACCTAAAAATTATTTAAAGAGTTTAATTCAAATTACAAATTACCTAATAAAATTCATTTTTCTTGTCCCACATTGGTTTTGAATTATAAAGGATTACATAGAAACCTCTTATAAAACTATAAACCTAAAGAAATATTAATCACACATTTCTCGGTCTTTTTGGCTAACCTTTTTCGGCCTTTTGACTAAGATCAAGTATAGTACTAAACTTTTGACTAAGATCAAGTATAGTACTAAATTTTTTTGGGTCGGTCTTTTAACTAACCTTTCTCGGCCTTTCGGCTAAGAGAGTTTCAGTATTTCAGTATTTATTTACTAATACAAAAAAAAGTTTTTATATAAAAAAAATTACCTAAAAAATATTTAAAGAGTTTAATTCAAATTACAAATTACCTAATAAAAATTATTATTTTTGTCCCATATTGGTTTTGAGTTATAAATGATTACATAAAAGTCTCTTATAAAACTATAGGCCTAAAAAAATATTAATCACACATTTCTCCACCTTTTGGCTAAAGAGAGTTTCAGTCTATACTATTATTAAATTACAAATTAATTTAAATAGTTTAATTCAAATTACAAATTACCTAATAAAATTCATTTTTCTTGTCCCACATTAGTTTTGAGTTATAAATGATTACATGAAAGTCTCTTATAAAAATATAGACCTTAAGAAATATTAATCACACCTTTCTCGGCCTTTTGGTTAAGATCAAGTGTAGTACTAAAATATTTTGAGTTGGGCTTTTGGTTAATCTTTTTCGGTTTTTGGCTACCTTTTGGCTAATAGAGAGTTTCAGTCTATATTATACTATTATTAAATATGCAAAGAGTTTCTGTCTTTTTATTACCTAATAAAATTCAAATAAAATATTTATTAAAACTCTAACACGAAATACATTTCAAATTATAAAAACTTTAAAAATTATTACCTAATAAAATTCAATTACAATATTTATTAAAACACCAAGTCGAAATATATTTCAAATTATAGAACTCTAACACGAAATATATTTCAAATTATAGAAACTCTAAAAATTATTACCTAATAAAATTAAAATAAAATATAAAAATTATTACCTAACAAAATTCAAATAAAATATTTATTAAAACTTTAACATGAAATACATTTCAAATTATAGAAACTCTAAAAATTATTACCTAATAAAATTCAAATAAAATATTTATTAAAACTCTAACACGAAATATATTTGAAATTATATAAACTCTAAAAAAAAAAGAGTTTCTATAAAACTCTAAAAATTATTACCTAATAAAATTCAAATTACCTATTTTATCTGTTGTTGTTTCTAAAAAAATTTATACTCTCTCTATATATAATTCAGTCTAAAAATTATTACCTAATAAATTTCAAATAAAATATATATTAAAACTCTAACACGAAATATATTTCAAATTACCTAAAAATTATTTAAAGAGTTTAATTCAAATTACAAATTACCTAATAAAATTCATAAAAATTAATTTAAAGAGTTTAATTCAAATTATAAATTACCTAATAAAATTCATTTTTCTTGTCCCACATTGGTTTTGAGTTATAAAGGATTACATTGAAGCTTATTATAAAACTATAGACATAAAGAAATATTAATCATACCTTTCTTGGCATTTTAGCTAAAATTTCTAGGCCTTTTGGCTAAGATCAAATGTAATACAAAATTCTTTGGGTCAGCCTATTAAAATAATAAAATATTTCCTAATTAATAAAAAAATAAAATATAAATATTTCAGTATTAATATAAAATCAAAAAGAATTTAGTAATTTACAAAACTCAAAATCGACCACCAATTTCAAAATTTAGTATTTCAGTATTAATATAAAAACCTATATCATTATACATGCAGAGATTTATAAATAAAACATAAAGAGTTTCAGTATTTCAGTATTTATTTATTAATATAAAAAATATTTACTAATTGATATAAAATGAATTAAAATAAAAGAGTTTCTATAAATAAAATGAATTAAAATAAAAGAGTTTAAAATCATTATTAAAACAACTAAAAAAATAGGTAGAATATGTAATTATTTAATAAAATAATTTAGCAAATAATAAAATAAGTTACAAAACATTCATCATGTGCATCGCAAGTGCCTTTTATATATATATATATATATGCTCGTATTGGTGTGTATTCGAGATGTATAAAAAAAGTAAAAAGAAATAAAGAAAGCATTCTCTCTCTACATTATGTCCTCTCCCTCTCTCTCTCTCTCTCTCTCTCAAAGTTCTTTATTTTGATATTTTTGTTTATGTTAATTAATATTTATATAACAGTAATGAGATTATCCAAAATAATAACTTTTTTTTTTCTTCCATAAAACGGGTTGACCCGGACCATTTTTACCTAACTCATATTTAACCTGTTACAAGCGAGTTGCACAACCCATATTCGACCCTGCCTAATGTGTGTTTGCATTCACGTCATTGCTATTCAAACTAATGAAATAATATAGCTTGATGAATGGGAGTGAAAATATTATCAAATATCTAACACAACAAATCATTTATGTTTGACATCCCTTTAATTAATAATAAGAATTAAAATGAGAACACTACAGCGCATTGAACCAAACCCCAGATTCGAATTTTCTGATTCTATGCAAAATCGTCACTAAAGGATGACAAAACAATAACGAGACACAAAGCAAAAGCCCCAAATTGGAGAATATAACCCATATTCAACCCTGCCAATTAGCCACCCCTAATCCTATTTCACTGTGTTGCTCCCGTCCCAAACTTAATTTGATACTTCCAAACATCACTTCAAATTTATCCATTGAATTAAAAATAAAAAATAAATATTTAAATCTCCCAAACAAAACATCGGATTTATCCATTACATTGAAAATAAAAAAACTAAATATTTAAAGTGAAAGAAAATAGATTTTCATTTAAGAATAAATTATGGCAAAAGGGAGGTATTTTGAAATACCTCTTTTCTCCATCAATCTCTCTCTCTCAACACCAGTCTCGAACCCGGGCCGATAGCTATGTGACAAGGCCACAAGCCACCAGGCCACAGGGTGAACCGGTGCTCGGTTACCCTCCCTATATGTACTTTAGACTTGGTCACATGGTCTACATTGGTCGATTTCTAGGGTTTCAATTTTGATCTTTGATGACAAAATTTGAGCGGAAATTACTACTGATTCACTCCTCAACTTTTCAATTCGTATATACATACATACATCAAGAACATCTGGGGCGACCTTCAAACAGCAATCAATCAAAAGGTGTGTCATTTCTATGTCTCAAAGATGTGTTTAAATACTTTCAGCATCAGTTACTTTACTCATCTGATTCATCAAAGTCTCGAGACATGTTAGCAGTAGTAGTTTAGGATCAAACATGTCTGATTCACCAACGAAATGATTCATATTTTTTAGGGTTTAATTCACAAAACCTCACTCTACTGTCATTTTTTTGACACTACTAGAATTTGTAGTTCCATTTTAAATGTTGGGGACAGAAAATGGAAGAATCCTGACTTTAATTTGACACCCTGCTTGTGATTCTTTGCGGCCACAACAAGATTGGTGTTCTACTGGTCCCACAGAACATAGCAACTGTGATTGAAACTCGATTCTCATCCGCTTCACACTCACACTCATGTTTTTTGTATATACATATAATCGTTTGGCTTTTCGAAACTCCGAAATTGGTGGCCAACATCAACACAGTTTGTTTTGTTTGTTACTCACACAAACAACAACGACAATGCTGATCATCAAGATATATAAATACACACGTATATGTATGGATATGTGGCCAAAATTATGCTTTTGGTTTTGGTATGTCAGATGGGTGGCTCTGCTTGCTGGTGGGGATGTGTTGGCTTTACTTTTTTTCTCCGCAATTGGAAGGTTCAGCTATGGGTTTTCTGTTTTTGACACTCAAACCCTAGGCATCGCTGACCCTTTTATAGCTGGTATATGTGTGTGATTGTTGTTTTATTTTTATTTTTTTGGGCATAAATTTGATGAATTGTATTGTAGTTCTTGTTTCTCGAAAACTCTGAATGTCTAGAATTGGCATTTGGTATTCAACAGGATGGATTTTGGGTGCTTATTTCCTTGGGGGTTATGGGGAGGATGGAGGAGGAATGAATGGTTTCTCTAAGGCTGTTATTACTGCTACCAAATCTTGGTCTTTGGGTATTCCAGTAAGTTCATCTAGCTTTTGTTTTTAATTTTTATTTTAAAATTATTTGCATTTATCAATTTTATTAATTTTCAACATGTATTGAAATGCTTTATTTTGTTATTTGATTGATGCATAATGTTACAAACAATATCATATAACAATGCCAGGATTATAAGCATGAAAGACAAAGAGGCCGGCCAAAGCTTACATGGGATGAAATAATTAAAAACGACTTAAAAAATTTGAATTTGAGAGTAGACATGGTGTATAAAAGAAAGAATGGAAAAAGAGAATTCATGTGGCCATATGGGATAATGGCAAGAATGATGATGTTGAGTTTTTTCCCTTCACTAAGCTGAATTTCCAAGCTCATGGGTTGTTGGCTGAACAATAGTAAGTTGTAGATATTGATAATAGATTTGTGGGCTTAAATTTATAGTTTGAACTGTAAAGGGGTTTCTATGTTGGCGTGTCAAGAGTTTGATTTTTCTGTTTTAAATGCACTCTTGGTCAAGCAGCTAATCCTCTTTTTGATCACGATAGTTGATGCTTACCTAATAATTTGTTTTCAGTTCAGCTAGTTGCCATGCATTGCTGAAAATTTACAGCATTTATACCAACGAAACAAAAACATTGAGTGAAAGTCTACACCATCAGACTAGTTACAAGTTAAGTCTTGTCACTTTTTGGATATCTCCATAAAAATCTGAAAATTGAACAGCAGTGAGATAAATAAGGTGACCAATATTGGATAGTTAATCGTACGATATGAGAGATTCAGTATAATTATATAGCAATTTTTTTGATATTAGGGGAACTTCTTGGCCTTTCGATGCTCTACTGCTTTATGTAGATCATGTTGCTTCATGGTCTTGAAAACTGAGTGAATTTTCTTTATTAGAATGAGATTTAATAGGTTTGAGTACCCTTTTCTAGGTGCACGCTTTGTTGATGTGCAGTAATTTGTATCCTTATCATCATGTTGATACATTTTTCTACAAAATTGTATTTCTTACAAGCTAAGTATAACGCCGAAATTCTCACCCAAGCTGGTGTTGATTCTGAGAAAATTCATAACTTAAACTTTTCCTTAAGGGAAAATGTGATTATCCAATATATCGTCATTTTCTCAGAAGTACATGAATGTTGAGAGATACAATAAAACACTAGTATCTGGTTTTGATGTTCATTCCTTGTTTTTCCTTTATGTTTCTTTTGCTTGTAATTGTTGAGAGATACAATAAAACACTAGTATCTTCCAACAACTTGTGAAAACTTTTTTGTATTTATTAGCATCTACATGTAAGAGTTGTATTTTCTCTAAGACTTCATTGGTGGTGCACATGGCTGAACCACCTTGGTGGCTTCTCTTATTTGGTTTTCCACCAGTGTTATGTTGTCTTCAGGGGGCGTCGTTTCTAGTTCATCTGTTAGGACTTTGTGTCATGAGTTTTGGCAATTTCAGTGTTTAAAACTTTATGCAGTTGTAATTTTTATTAAGTTATTTGAGTCCTATTTGTTGTTGGATATAAGTCCAAGATTGATTCAATAATGGTTGACAAACCTTGTAATGGTAGATCATTGACATAATGATATCTTTGAATTGTGAAATATGTGAATGCTTAACACTTGTCAGCTGCTGCTTTAGGTGCCACAATGCTATGATTTTCACTTCCTCCCGAGGTTTCCTTGTCGTGCTCATTTATTAAGTTATTAAAACTGTATGCAGTTGTAATTAAAACTTTATGCAGTTGTAATTTTTATTAAGTTATTTGAGTCCTATTTGTTGTTGGATATAAGTCCAAGAATGATTCAATAATGGTTGACAAACCTTGTAATGATAGATCATTGACATAATGATATCTTTGAATTGTGAAATATGTGAATGCTTAACACTTGTCAGCTGCTGCTTTAGGTGCCACAATGCTATGATTTTCACTTCCTCCCGAGGTCTCCTTGTCGTGCTCATTTAGTCAACATTTTTGTCTAATGTTGATATCTGAAATCTATCCATCTCGTTAACTAACACTTGCATTGTAAGTGATTTTGTTTTGTGGTGTCATTGTAGAGTCATGCCTAGGAAAGAGAAAAACAGACGGCATAATCTATAGCCATAAAAATTTCAGCGTCATTGTAGAATTATGTCGAGGAAAGAGAAAAACAGACGGCATACTTGGAAATTTCTGATCTATAGCCATAAAAGTTTCACAATTGATCTCTGGACACATGAATTTGTGTGAGCATGAGTTGGGAGATGGCACTTAACTTTTTTTTTTTAATTTTGGCATTTTAGCAAAGTCTATTTTAATTTTTAATCCGTCTAACAATTTCCTGAACTTTGGGTGTCTATGAAATCTACTTTTTTTTTTTTTTTTTTTACTTATCAAAAAAAAAAAAATGAAATCTACTTTTTTTTTTCTCTATTTGCCTTTTCTTGGCAGGTGGGAATGACGATAAGGGCAGCAACAGTAGGCCATATTCCGCCACCTAGCTTTATCCTAGTAACCCTGGGAAGCACTGCTTTTTTACTTATTGGATGGAGAGCACTATTGTTCAGCATTCTCCCTGATGATAAAAGCAAAAAGGATGGCGTCGACAAGCATGACAAGCCATTTGATCTGTTTGAGGTAAATAATTTTTCGTGATTGATCAGCAACTTGAAATTCATAGTAATGCGCTGACTTCTCATTTTAAGTTTAGTGAGTCGTTATCTCAGATCCAATTATCTTTTTCCTGATTTTACAAAAGAAACAATTATGAAAAACTATCCTTGATGACTGAAATGTCTTAAGGATATTTAGAAATGCTTTCTGGTATTGCGTTGGATTATGTTAAATGGATTTGGATACATATATCAAGTGTTTGTATCTCTCTCAAAGCATCTGATTTCTGAAATACCCTAAACCAAGGACACGGTAGTACTTCTAAATATATATTTTTTTTCTTTATTGAGTAAATCTCATAATGTACGATTATATAGTAAACTTGAATTATTAGATAATGTTTGTTACGTGCATGTCCAACTGGAATGTCACACATTTGCCCCGTACCCCATGAGTGCTCGTGTTGTGTGTCTGACATAGGCCTAGGATATTCAGCATACATGAAAATTTTGTTCTTTTGGTGCAGTCGATGACATCTTTTGTTCAAGAACTCCAAAATCAATGGAAGCCCAGACCACATGCCACAAACATCACAGTGAAGTAAAGCATGAGACCACTCTCAACTCCCAAGCAAGTATTTTTCTATCACATCTTTTGTTCAACGGGTGGTCATCTGTGTTCCTAAATGCAAGGTCATTGTTGTACTTGCAGGTAGCAACAATTGTAACCAGTGAAAAAAATTCTCAGATGCCCTTTTTATTTATTTATTTATTTTTATTTTATGGTTTTTGATATTTTGTGTCTCCGAGTTTCAATATAATGGCAGTTGCTTGATTCTTTGAGGGAAAAAATCCTCATAATCTCTTTACTGCTAATTGGTCTGTATAATTTTAAAAATCATACCAATTTATTAAACCTTAATCTAAATTATCTGCACATCTATGTTCTTAGATGTTATTATATTCTTCTATATTATACTAATGATTTACAGGTCACTGTCAATCCAAAACAAAATATTTCTTAAAAAAATAAACCAAAACAAAATAATAAAGGATTTCTATGCAATGATTTTATTATATTATTATTTTGGTAACGAGGAGCCCTTTCAAATTTCCAATCTTGGGTACCTTTTATGCATTAATATAAGGTTGCAAAACATAATAATAAATGAAAAAAATAATCGAATAACATTTCTTTTGCTGTTTACAAAAAAATTGAATAATAATAGTGAAAAGATATGAGCAATTTTTTGTTTGCAAATTTCAAAATTTTACTAACAGAACAAGGCACCACGACCTATTAACTCTAATTTTCACCCTAATTGTGTAAAGTCGTTCAAATTTTAACTTAATTTATTTTATTTTTTCAATGCCTCTTAAAAAAAAAAAAAAAAATTCAAGTTTTGGCAATTTAAAAATCTATTGAATCTGATCCAATCCACTCACCATGATTATTTAATACTCACTCAATGTCTAAGTTCCAATTTTGTTTGTGTAAAGATTTGCAATGATTGTGTGTGATATAGCAAAGAGTATTTTTTCCATAATAAATATAGATAAAAAGGAGAGGTATTTTAGAATACCTCTCCGTAGCTTTTGAAGAAATCAAATAAGTTGAAGCCCTAAACCAGCAGACTGATGAACCAGTGTTACATTATGAAAAAATATATATTTTTATGTATGTATATGTGGTTCAAATTATACTTTTGGGTTTTGTATGTCAGTCGTGTGATTGTTTGTTTGTCCAAATCTTGCTCCGTGGTATTCTAGTAAATTCATCTTATTCTTTTTTTCTTTTTTCTTTTTTCTTTTTTATTTTTTATTTTTTATTTTTCGTTTTTCATCAAAGGTTCTTTAAAATTTAAAATCTTTGATTAATGCATAATGTTACAAACAATATTATTGTATAGTAATGCCAGGAATATGAACATTCCATGAGCACGACAACCAAACACCCAAAATAAGATTTTTCCTTTTTTGGTTAAATAATTTTTTTAACAATTTTTTTTTTTTTTTGGTATTTAGCAAAGGATTAGGTTGAATTCATGAAACAAAACATGCAAAATAATTTGTCAAAAAATGATGGGTAAGTTAATATGCTAAGTAAATGATTTATCCCTCAACTCTTTATGCAAATAAAAGCACAAGATAAGAAGAAGATAAAACAACAACAAAAAAAAACAAAACCATAATACATTTGCATTGAATGAAAATTTAAAAATATTAACTGTGGCTTCGGATAAAAAAAATTCATGAAAAAAAAAAAAAAAAAAATGTGAGCGAAATCATGGCACCAAACTTGAGTTGAAATATTTGGAGTTCCAAAAAAAAAAAAACAAACTTAGAAAGAATCCGTTTTGAATTGATTTCAACCTCAAAAGAGTATTAAATAGAAACGAGCGAATTACACAAAACCCTCCTTATGAATTGTTTTAGCAAAAAGTTCCCCTCAATTATTAGAGGGGGTATTTTAACTAGAGTTACAATTCGGACGAGTTGGACGGATTTGAAGTATAACTTGAGCCCAACCCATCATATGAAATGTTAAACCTAAGCACAACCCTAACTCTATCCTTTTTTTTTTTTTTTTTTTTTTTTCATAATTGTCCCTAACTCTATCCTCAACCTTAACTATTTCACCTAAGCTCAACCCATCCTTCTACTTTTAAATTCGGGCTTGCAACTCGGACTTAGATTTCAGATAAAAACCTCGGGTTACTTATATGGCTAATCTTTACACCGAAAATTTAATATGATCTTTAACTAGTTTTAGATTAAATTACTCCTAAATAAGAAATTTTTTTTTTAGATTTTTAATAAATTACAAACAAAATTTTAGAAAATCCTCCTACATGTTAATATATAATAAGTTAAGATTTAACAAAACAAGTTGAAAAGAAAAAAAGTAATCATAATTTAAATATCATATATATAATGTATTTAAAAGTAAAAATATATATAAAAATAATATTATAATTCGGGTTCGAATTGGTTTGGGTTGCTAGTACTTCGACTCAAGTCAACCCTAATTAAATTTCGATTGAGATTTTTCAATTCAAGTCCAACTCTAATTGTAAAAATAATTGCCCATACCCGTAAAAAATCGAACAAGGCTCGGGTTGGGTTTGGATTACCGAACCCAAGTTGCACCCTAATTTTAAGTGATGGTTGTTTAAGTGATTATATTTTAGACAAAAATACCCCTTAAACAGATACCCTCTTCAATAGTTTTACCTTTTCTCTCTAACCTCTTAATCTCTTCCATCCCACCACAACCACCTCCATCCATTATAATACAAATTTAGCTTCTTAACCGTTGGGCAATTGATTGCTTCACTTTTAATCCAAACACGCCTTTACCACCACCATCGTCGTCGTCCTCTTCAAGCATCCCTCTCCTTATAAACCCTAATTTTTGCAGACCCATTTGTGAGATACAGAAGCACATTTCTATACATAAACATATAAAAACATATATGTAGATTATTTAGAATAATCTATGTAACGTTTACATAGAAGACTGATAGTGCAAGAAATTGAACGTACCTCTGATTACATGTATATATATTAGATTATGAGCAACACAGATTGTTGGAACAAAAACGGAAAAAATGATGTTTAATGTCAAGATTAATTAGCGGAAAAATGTAATAACAAATTAATTCCAATTGTTCTTCTTTTTAAAAATTAAATCAATTCGAAGTGTTAGAATGTTGGGAACCTCAAACCATTTACCTTTCATTATATTGAAGAAGAGAAAATATCACTAAATAACATATTTTGGTGGTGAAAACACAATCAATCTTTAATTTTTCTCTTTTCGCACCTTTTTAATTGACAGCTTTCCAAATTTATTAAATTTTATCGCTTCTTGGATCGTTTTTCTACTAGGTCGCAGTTGCAGAGTGTGTGTAGAGAGAGAGAGAAGAGTGAGAAAAGCCCTCTTTTTCGGATGTGTATATTTCAAATTCGTTCCAAATCAAGATGCCCTTGATTTTGAATTCTTTCACTTGAACCCTTGTCTTCTTCTGTTTAAAAATGATAGTAGTAATTGGCTAAAGATGTGATATTGGGCTCTAAATTCTATAATCTCTACCATCCTCTCCTTAAAAACCCTAATTTTTGCAGACCCATTTGATATCAATTGTGTATTTGTGGTTCTGTGTCGTCAATCGTCATGGCTCATGAATCTGTGGCAGTTACATCGCCATCGGCGACGTCGCTCGCTCCCGGTTTCCGATTCCACCCCACTGATGAAGAGGTCGTGCAGTACTATCTCAGATTCGAAGCCTTTCATGGTGTTAGAGAGAGAGTAAAATTGTTGAAGAAGCTAACTGTTTAAGGGGTATTTTTGTCCAAAATATAACCCCTTAAACAAAGTTTAAATAGTTGAGAGGTTTTTATTGCTAAAACAAATCTTAAGGAAAGTATTTTGCCAAGAAACGAAAGTGGGGGGTATTTTTGTCCAAAATATAACCACTTAAACAACCATCAGTTTAAATAGTTGAGAGGGGTTTATTACCAAAACAAATCTTAAGGTAAGTATTTTGCTAAGAAACGAACGTGGGAATTTGCTAGGAAATATTTAAACTAATATTCACTTAGCTTGAATTTTTGACTTTTTGTTTTTTATGATTTATTTATTAATTTTTTTTTTTATTAATAAAAAATTCACACACTCACTATACTCGTTTGGAGACCATAACCTTCCACCATCCATTTTGAAAAGTAGGGAAGATACCATTAGACTATAATGCCCTTAATATTTATTTATTGGTTAGTACCAGAGGTTTTTATGCAATAATATACAATTATACAAAAGATAGAAATCAAGAGGAACTAATCACCGATCTCCTCTCTTCAATAAATTTGGGTTTTTTTTTTTTTTTTTTTTTCCTGAAAATAGAAGAAATTTTCTAAGAGTCACCCTCCTCTTATGACGATCTCCAACAATTATATTGTATTATAGTGAAAATCAAGCAGAGAACGAAGAAACTGGTTATTTGTGGGTTTTGTTTGTGTGTTTTTATTTGAAGTCCATCCATTCGAACAGGGAAACGGATTATCGAGCAGAGAACAAATTTTTAGGTTTTATTTGTGGGTTTTGCTTGAATAGAATCAAGCAGAAGAATTATTTCTGGGCATAACAGCGAAATGAGTTATTTGTAATCCATGAAAAATTGAAATAAAATCAGAATAGATTGCAAGTTATATGTCAATTTTAAAACATAGATTGATACATTCGTTTATGTATTAATTGGAAGGTTTTTGATAAATAGAAATCAATTCAATATTTTCCTTCTAAATTTCCTAATAAAACTAACATAATTTAGTTGTGTGTAGGAGTGGCTCACAACTAAATCACGCCACGTGTACTAAAACACAGGTGAAGAATAATAGGCATTCTACATTAAAGGCACTCCTTGAAACTTTTTTTATTTGCTAAAAGAATTAAAAGGCCGTGTTGTTACACAAACAAATCTTAGCACTGCTCTAGGTCACTGTACTGGGTCATTTACAAGCTTCGAATGATCCTCACCAATGAGCAATCAAACGATAGCATCGCGTTGGATTCTCGCTAATGAGCAATCAAACCTTAGCATAGCACTAAGTCATTTAAAAAGCTCCGAATGGTTCTCATCAACGAGCAATCAAATCCTATCATGATTAGCGTCACGCTGGATAATTTAAAAATCTCCAATTGTTTTCACCAGTGAGCAATCAAACCCTCACGTTACATCATTTAAAAAAGCTTCAGATAACAAAATCAACCAAACATCGACATTATTCTATACTACCATGAACTTCAAGACTTCTAGGTAAATCAAAGTACCACACCATGGAGCGAAAGACAAATCATAAAAAAGCATCTCGAGATACTAATAGGGTCTTCTCGATTTTGGGAAGCTTCTCCCCACAAGGAACTATAAAAGGATTTGGTTTGGTTGATAAGGAATTAGAAAATGCTTTTTAAACGAACCAGGTTACTGAGATGGTGGACACACACGGTAAAGGCAAAGCAGAGACTTTACATCACATTTAATACTCTAAATGACATAGCCATAATCAACTTGACTACCGCTAGGTATAAAAATGACATTGCCAAACATAACATCGATTTATCCATTACATTGAAAATAAAAAACTAAATATTTAAAGTGAAAGAAAATAGATTTTTCATTTAAGAATAAATTTTGGCAAAGAGGAGGTATTTTGAAATGCCTCTTATTTCCATTAATCACTCTCTCTGGGCCGATCGCTCAATTTCAAGGTCCAAAGCCACCAGGCCACAGGATCAACCGGTGCTCAGTTAGTCTCCCTAAATATACTTTACTGGCTACAAGTTAGACTTGCTCACAGGGTTTACATTGGTCGATTTCTAGGGTTTCAATTTTGATCTTTGATGACAAAATTGGAGCGGAAATTACTACTGATTCACTCCTCAACTTTTCAATTCGTATGTACATACATACATCAAGAACATCTGGGTTGGCCTTCAAACAGCAATCAATCAAAGGTGTGTCATTTCTATGTCTCAAAGACGTGTTTAAATACTTTCAGCATCAGTTACTCTACTCATCTGATTCATCAAAGTCTTGAGACATGTTAGCAGTAGTAGTTTAGGATCAAACGTATCTGATTCACCAACGAAATGATTCATATTTTTTAGGGTTTAATTCACAAAACCTCACTCTACTGTCATTTTTTTTGACACTGTATAGAATTTGTAGTTCATTTTAAATGTTGGGGACAGAAAATGGAAGAATCCTGACTTTAATTTGACACCGTGCTTGTGATTCTTTGCGGCCACAACAAGATTGGTGTTCTACTGGTCCCACAGAACATAGCAACTGTGATTGAAACTCGATTCTCATCCGCTTCACACATACACATGTTTTTTTGTATATACATATAATCGTTTGGCTTTTCGAAACACCGAAATTGGTGGCCAACATCAACACTGTTTGTTTTGTTTGTTACTTACACAAACAACAACGACAATACTGATCATCAAGTTATATAAATACACACGTATATGTATGGATATGTGGCCAAAATTATGCTTTTGGTTTTTGTATGTCAGATGGGTGGCTCTGCTTGCTGGTGGGGATGTGTTGGCTTTACTTTTTTTCTCCGCAATCGGAAGGTTCAGCTATGGGTTTTCTGTTTTTGACACTCAAACCCTAGGCATCGCTGACCCTTTTATAGCTGGTATATGTGCGTGATTGTTCTTTGATATATATATATTTTTTGGGCATAAATTTGATGAATTGTATTATAGTTCTTGTTTCTCGAAAACTCTGAATGTCTAGAATTGGCATTTGGTATTCAACAGGATGGATTTTGGGTGCTTATTTCCTTGGGGGTTATGGGGAGGATGGCCGAGGAATGAATGGTTTCTCTAAGGCTGTTATTACTGCTACCAAATCTTGGTCTTTGGGTATTCCAGTAAGTTCATCTAGCTTTTGTTTTTAATTTTTATTTTAAAATTATTTACATTTATCAATTTTATTAATATTCAACATGTATTGAAATGCTTTATTTTGTTATTTGATTGATGCATAATGTTACAAACAATATTATATAACAATGCCAGATTTATAAGCATGAAAGACAAAGAGGCCGGCCAAAGCTTACATGGGATGAAATAATTAAAAACGACTTAAAAAATTTGAATTTAAGAGTAGACATGGTGTATAATAGAAAGAATGGAAAAAGAGAATTCATGCGGCCGACCCCATCCATATGGGATAAAGGCAAGAATGATGATGATCAGTTTTTACCCTTCACTAAGCTGAATTTCCAAGCTCATGGGTTGATGGCTGAACAATAGTAAGTTGTAGATATTGATAATATATTTGTGGGCTTAAATTCATAGTTTGAACTGTAAAGGGGTTTCTATGTTGGCGTGTCAAGAGTTTGATTTTTCTGCTTTAAATGCACCCTTGGTCAAGCAGCTAATCCTCTTTTTGATCACGATAGTTGATGCTTACCTAATAATTTGTTTTCAGTTCAGCTAGTTTCCATGCATTGCTGAAAATTTACAGCATTTATACCAATGAAACAAAAACATTGAGTGAAAGTTTACACCATCAGACTAGTTACAGTATAAGTCTTGTCACTTTTTGGATATCTCCATAAAAATCTGAAAATTGAACAGCAGTGAGATAAATAAGGTGACCAATATTGGATAGTTAATCGTACAATATGAGAGATTCAGTATAATTATATAACATTTTTTTTGATATTGGTGTTGCTTATGAGAAAATTCATAACTTAAACTTTTCCTTAAGAGAAAATGTGATTATCCAATATATCGTCATTTTCTTAGAAGCACATGAATGTTGAGAGATACAATAAAACACTAGTATCTGGTTTTGATGTTCATTCTTAGTTTTTCCTTTACGTTTCTTTTGCTCGTAATTGTTGAGAGATACAATAAAACACTAGTATCTTCCAACAACATGTGAAAACTTTTTTGTATTTATTAGCATCTACATGTAAGACTTCTATTTTCTCTAAGACTTCATTGGTGGTGCACATGGCTGAACCACCTTGGTGGCTTCTCTTATTTGGTTTTCCACCAGTGTTATGTTGTCTTCTCAGGGGGCTTCGTTTCTAGTTCATCTGTTAGGACTTTGTGTCATGAGTTTTGGCAATTTCAGTGTTTAAAACTTTATGCCGTTGTAATTTTCATTAAGTTATTTGAGTCCTATTTGTTGTTGGATATAAGTCCAAGAATGATTCAATAATGGTTGACAAACCTTGTAATGGTAGATCATTGACACAATGGTTTCCTTGAATTGTGAAATATGTGAATGCTTAACACTTGTCAGCTGCTGCTTTAGGTGCCACAATGCTATGATTTTCACTTCCTCCCGAGGTTTCCTTGTCGTGCTCATTTAGTGGACATTTTTGTCTAATGTTGATATCTGAAATCTATCCATCTCGTTAACTAACACTTGCATGGTAAGTGATTTTGTTTTGATGGTACCTAATACAACATCTTTGTTGGTATCAAGCACCAATACTTGTGTCAATGTCCTTGTATTTTTTGACTGTATGCAACAAGTTCATTGTTGTACAGATTTGCAAACCCTAAAGTTGTGGTGTCATTGTAGAGTCATGCCTAGGAAAGAGAAAAACAGACGGCATAATCTATAGCCATAAAAATTTCAGCGTCATTGTAGAAATATGTCGAGGAAACAGAAAAACAGACGGCATACTTGGAAATTTCTGATCTATAGCCATAGAAGTTTCACAATTGATCTCTGAACACATGAATTTGTGTGAGCATGAGTTGGGAGATGGCACTTAATTTTTATTTTTTTTATTTTTTGCATTTTAGCAAAGTCTATTTTAATTTTTAATCCGTCTAACAATTTCCTTAACTTTGGTTGTTTATGAAATCATTTTATTTTATTTTATTTTGCCTTTTCTTGGCAGGTGGGAATGACGATAAGGGCAGCAACAGTAGGCCATATTCCGCCACCTAGCTTTATCCTAGTAACCCTGGGAAGCACTGCTTTTTTACTTATTGGATGGAGAGCACTATTGTTCAGCATTCTCCCTGATGATAAAAGCAAGGTGGATGGTGACGAGAAGGATGGCGTTGTCATGAAGGATGGCGTCGAGAAGGATGGTGTCGACAAGCATGACAAGCCATTTGATCTGTTTGAGGTAAATAATTTTTCGTGGTTGATCAGCAACTTGAAATTCATAGTAGTGCGCTGATTTCTCATTTTAAGTTTAGTGAGTCCTTATCTCAGATCCAATTATCTTTTTCCTGAATTTACAAAAAGAAACAAATATGAAAAACTTTCCTTGATGACTGAAATGTCTTTATGATATTTAGGAATGCTTTCTGGTATTGCGTTGGATTATGTTAAATGGATTTGGATACATATATCAAGTGTTTGTAACTTTCTCAAAGCATCTGATTTCTGAAATACCCTAAACCAAGGACACGGTAGTGCTGCTAAATATATATATTTTTTCTTTATTGAGTAAATCTCATAATGTACAATTATATAGTAAACTTGAATTATTCGATAATGTTTGTTAGGTGCATGACCAACCAGAATGTCACACATTTGCCCCGTACCCCATGAGTACTAGTGTTGTGTGTCTGACATAGGCCTAGGATATTCAGCATAGATGAAAATTTGTTGATGAACCCTCTGGTTTTCGATTTCCTAACTTAAAAATATATTTTTTTCTTTTGGTGCAGTCGATTACATCTTTTGTTCAAGAACTCCAAAATCAGTGGAAGGCATTAGAAAAAAATATTCCACGAACATCACAGTGAAGTAAAGCCTGAGACCACTCTCAGCTCCCAAGCAAGTATTTTTCGTTTTTATTTATAAAGGATCAGAATTACTCCCTAGCAAGTATTTTTCGATCACATCTGTTGTTCAACGGGTGGTGAAATAGTGGTCATCTGTGTTCCTAAATGAACCAGTGTTACCTTATGAAAAAAATATATTTTTATGTATGTATATGTGGTTTAAATTATACTTTTGGGTTTTGTATGTCAGTCGTGTGATTGTTTGTTTGTCCAAATCTTGGTCCGTGGTATTCTAGTAAATTCGTCTTATTCTTTTTTATTTTTTATTTTTTATTTTTATTTTTATTTTTATAATATTTTCATCATAGGTTGTTTAAAATTTAAAATCTTTGCACTCATCAAATTTATTAGTGTTCAACATGTACTGAAATGCTTTATTTTGTTATTTGATTAATGCATAATGTTACAAACAATATTATTTGTATAGTAATGCCAGGAATATGAACATTCCATGAGCACGACAACCAAACACCCAAAATAAGATTTTTTTTCTTTTTTGGTAAAATAATATTTCTAATTTTTTTATTTTATTTATTTTTTTGGTATTTAGTAAAGGTTTAGGTCAAATTCATTTAACGAAATATGCAAAATAATTTGTCAAAAAATGCAAAATAATTTGTCAAAAAATGATGGGTAAGTTAATATGTTAAGTAAATGATTTATCCTTCAACACTTTATGAACAAAAAAAATATGCATTTGCATTGGGTGAAAATTTTAAAATACTAACTGTGGTTTCTGATAAAAAAAATTCATGAAAAATAAAAATGAGCGAAATCAAAGCACCAAATTTGAGTTGAAATGTTTGGAGTTACTAAAAAAAAAAAAGAAACAAAATAAAAACAAATGCTTTGTGTTGTAAAATATTCTTTTTGGAAAATATATATATTTTTTTAGGTAAAATATTTTTTTATTTTTACTTTGTCGGTGTTTAGCAAAGGTCTACGTCGAGATTGAGGTCGAGTCCATTGGACGGGGCATGTAGAATAATTTGTCGAAAATTAATGGATAAATTATTTTTTGTTAAATTTTAATATTTTTTTTTTCGTCGTAAATATTTTATGACAACCAAACATCAGAAAATAAAAAAAATATTTTCTAAGGTCTATATTGAGATTGAGGTCGGGTCTATCGGATTGATAAATTATTTTTGTTAAGTTTTAATATTTTTTTCTTCGTAAAATATCCAAATACCAAAAAATAAAAAAAATATTTTTTACGTCCAAACAAATGGAGAGAATCCGTTTTGGATTGATTTCAACCTCAAAAAGAGTATCAAATAGAAATTAACACAAAAAGTAAGCACCATGTTTGAGTCCCCCTTTCTCATAATTTGCTAGGAAATATTTAAACTGATATTCACTAAGGCTCAAATTTTCGACTTTTCCTTTGATGATTTATTTATTGATTTTTTTTTTCATTGGCAAAAAACTCACACACACCACTCAAACATCCACTATGCTCATTTGGAGACCCTAACCTTCTACCATCCACCATTCACTTTGATAAGTAGAGAAGATATCATTAGGTTACAAGGTTCTCAGTATTTATTTATTGGTTGGTACCAGAGGTTTTTATGCAATAATATACAGTTACACAAAAGAGAGAAATCAAGAGGAACTAATCATCGATCTCCTCTTTTCAATAAATTTTTTTTTTTTTTTTCCTGAAAATAAAAGAAATTTTCTAAGAGTACCCTCCTCTTATGACGATCTCCAACAATTATATTGCATTATAGTGAAAATCAAGCAGAGAATAGAGAAACTGGTTATTTGTGGGTTTTGTTTATGGGTTTTGTTTGTGTGTTTTTATTTGGAGTCCATCCATTCGAACAGAGAAACGGATTATTGAGCAGAGAACAGATTTTTAGGTTTTATTTGTGGGTTTTGCTTGAACAGAATCAAGCACAAGGATTATTTCTGGGCATAACAGCGAAATGAGTTATTTGAGATCCATGAAAAATTGAAATGAAATCAGAATAGATTGCAAGTTATGTGTTAATTTTAAAACATAGATTGATACATTCATTTATGTATTAAATGGAAATATAAATCAATTCAATCTTTTCCTTCTAAATTTCCTAATAAAACTAATATAATTTAGTTGTGTGTAGGAGTGGCTCACAACTAAACCACGCCACATGTACTAAACCATGCCACGTGTACTAAAACACGGGTGAAGAATAATAGGCATTTTACATTAAAAACACTCCTTGACACTATTTTTATTCGCTAAAAGAATTAAAAGGCCTTGTCGTTACACAAACAAACCCTAGCGCTGCACTATGTCACTGTACTGGGTCATTTAAAAGCCTTGAATGATCCTCACCAAAGAGCAATCAAACCCTAGCATCGCGCTGGGTTCTCGCCAACGAGCAATCAAACCTTAGCATAGCGCTAGGTCATTTAAAAAGCCTCAAATGGTTCTCACCAACGAGCAATCAAACCCTAGCATCACGCTGGGTCATTTAAAAGTCTCAAATGGTTTTCACTAGCGAGCAATCAAACCCTCGCGTTACGTCATTTAAAAAAGCTTCAGATAACAAAATCAACCAAACATCGACATTGTTCCATACTACCAGGAACTTCAAGACTTCTGGGTAAATCAAAGTACCACATCATGCAGTGAAAGACAAATCATAAACAAGCATCTTGAGATACAAATAGGGTCTTCTCAATTTTGGGGAGCTTCTCCTAAAATGACAAGAATTGGGAGAGATTTGGAGGGATAGCTATCCCTCCAAATCCCTCATATGCAATCCTTCCTAAAATGACAAGAATTGGAGAGAAAAGAGAGTGAGTTAAGTAGAATATTCATAATCTCAAAATTACCCTCCATAATTAAAACCAAAAAAAAAAAAATGTTATGGCATTCACCTCCCATTCATGAAAAAAACTGGAAAGCTTATTTGCTATAGAATCTGGACTTCATCACACTTATTGTTAGACCCGAATGTAGTTCCTCAAACAAACGCGATCCTAGGTTGCGTAAAGCTACCTCAATTCTAGCCAATCGATGACATTTGTGCCTATGATGAACAGCTGCAGTAACTTTGTAATGCATTTCTACTATAAACTGCATTATCATTACAGCAGATTATTTGAGAAAATGCACCCAAATCATTCACTTCTATTGGTCAACACTGCCCTCTATGATAGTGCTGATACTTGTCCAACTCCTAAACATAATTTTCGCATTGATCACACTAGCGCCGCCGCCGGATCACCTTCTTTCACCTCTTCCCTCTCTTCAATCTTCTCACCTCGAATATGAGCCACCACAACCACTATCACCAACCATCCACCAATTACAACTGAAATTTGAGCCTCGTGGTTCCATAAATTAATCTATATATATGGGCAAAATTCTGCTAATTTTCCATATATTTCTCTGTTAGATAGAAGTATAGTATTATACCTTTGCAAGTATAAATCAACAATTGAAGCCATAGCTTGAGCCTCTTACTCTTTTTATTTTTATTTTTTTTATGAACCCAAGTTTTGAAACAGGTGCATATACAAAAAAATATGAACTTTGGATATATATATATATATACACACACACACACACACACACACACATATATATATATATATATTTGTGTATGTATATGTTGATAGTCACTGCCACAAGGGACGCCACGTGTCCCTATTGAATCATAATGTCAATAATCACTGCCACAAGGGACGCCACGTGTCTCTACGGAATAATAATGTTACCTGACTAGTCAGCACTGAATGGGCCATACTGGGTCCCACCTGACTTTACTCTGGAAGCCCTAAGAACCTCTAGCTATTAGGGCCTGGTATGTGAGCACCTAGGCTCATAAGAGGAGGGGGTCGCTACCCCTCACTCTCCTAGTTTGGCGGCGCCCCGCTCCAGTCGAATGGGCCCTGCCTTAACTTAAAAGCCCCTCGTTTCCCGCAGTACTCGAGATAGGGCCCGAGGGGGTTATACTGGTTGATCCCCCTGAGCCGCCCGTTGTGGGAAGCTCGAGGAGCTTGGAAGTTGGGGGAACGCAAGGCCGAAGAAGGCAGAACCTCGGAACCTTCCCCTCTTCCCCTGGCATGGGAATCTGAGTCGTAGTGGATGGGAGGCTGGAATTCAAGGTACTGCCCTATGGAGAAGAATGGAAAAAGCCTAAGGCCTATATCAAGGAGAGGATATGCTCAGTAGTACTTGCACCTAAGGTCCGGGAAGGTAGGAGTCACTCGGCGCATTAAATGCACTGACATGACCTATGCATAGAATAATCATTGCATCATCTGACCCGAGGGGCACATTGCCTTGGGCCACCTTCCTGACGTTCCATCAGTCAGGAGGAAATCCCTTTGCCCATTGGATAAAAGGAGGTTACCCTCTCAGAACCAATGGTCAAGAGGAGGCTAGCCCCCTTAGACCAAAAGTCAAGGGGAGGTTTCCCCCCCGCGACCGGGGGGCATTATCCGAAAGCAACTAGTATAAATAAACATAGAAATTAGAAGTTAAGGACAAGAAAACAAAAATCATAAAGACCTACTACTGGACCTCGAGTTAAAGAAGTATTGAGCAACTACCTTCCTTCTATTAATCTTCACTTGTGAAGAATCCTTGGTATAGGTTGAGTTCCCATTCAGACACTAACCTTAGCATTCTTGACCTATGTGGAATGATTTCCTCGACTTATCACCCAGCATCTATAAATATTTTGGTAACTTCACTAGGGATGAGCATTTCGCGTATGTCGGGCATCCAAGAGGTTAGCCTCCCCTCACAGAATGGACCTGTACTCGTGGGCAACAGCGAGGAGGCAGTCATGAGTAGTGTCCCAGAAACAGATCTTTGGGGGACAAGAATCCTCTTCCCAGACGCTTTAGTTGAGGCTCACAGCTCCTTTTCCTTCAGGATAGAGAAGCTGGAGGACACTCAAAGGGAGATGGTGGCGGTCTTGCAAGACATAGCCACCAGAGGAGTACCCCGATGGGGGGGAGTTCTACAGCGAATCAGAAAGGAGCTAGGTTATTCTAGAGCATTCTGCTCCTCCTCGTCGTCGAGCAACCGAGGAAAGGGGCACCATCGCCGTCGGTACCTCTAGGGGATGATGGACCCCCCCAATCTCTGCACAGCGAGCCTTGTTTGGCACCCCTCAAACAAGCCCCCCTAGATTGTCTTCGAGCTACTCATACCAGCAGGAAGTGCCCCGCAGGGGTGAAAACCCAGAGGGATCTCTGTACCCCCCTAAGCCTGCGCTGATGTCGCAATTCGTCACTATAGCAAATGTACAGGCAA